TAATCATATGTTTTGACCCGAAAGATTCCTGTTGAGCAGGATACCCTAATCGGTGGGAACATGAACAAGAAAGAATTCTAGAATGCAGAGCTCAAAAAAGATAAGGAGACACATGTTAGAACACAACCAGATAAGGTCTGCTGGTTCCTTCCAATTGATAAAATCATAGCACACACAGGAGTCTGTCCGATTTCTTGTCACATAATGTTCCAATTAATTTGCTTTCTATTTTTGTGTTGCATGCTTTGTCTCATAGCCTATATTAGTCCATTCTAAATACATATGAAAAAAATGATTGTAGGTGTAATTATTGTCATTATCAATATTATTTAGATTATTAAAATTTATTTTTTAAATTATATTGAAAAATATCAATTTATTGATTAATTTTAATTTATTAATTAATAAATATTAATTATTTTATTGATTATAAATTAATAATTATAGTTGTTAATTATTTTTATTAATCAAAATAAATAAATTTATATTTTTAAATAACATTTTATTATTTTAATAATCACTATATTATTATTGATAACTATAACCATGCCTATTCTTCTAACTCTTTCCCTCCCTATTTTAAACAATATAACAATATTGAACAATAACAGACAAACTTTCTTTTTTTAGAAAAAAAAGAAAAAGAAAAACATAATAATAACTGTTATTTCTGGAATAAGTTTAGATTCAATAAAATTAAAATTCATTAAAAAATGACAATTACTTTGGAAAGATGGAATAATAATTTTCTTTTTCGAAGAAAATGAACGGAGGCATGTTAATCACATGGAACTTGTTTCATTATTTGAATTAAGATTCGTTTAACTTATGTTTTAAGAGTATAGATTAAAAGTGTATTAAATATATATTTTTATCATAAATTTATATTAAAAAATAAAAATTAACATTTAATTTATTAATTATCTAATTAAATTTATCTTATACTAAAATTAATATTAATTTTTATATTTTATATATATATTTATTATAAAAAATACTCTTAATTTACACCTTAAGGACATAAATTAAAAAAATCTTTTGAATTATATCAAGTTATAAAATACAGATTATAAAATAGGGAGAGAGACTTTTCAATATTAAAAGTTCAATCATTATTTAATAATTAATATTATATAATTTAATATAATTTGATTTTATAAATGTGATTATTACTACTTATAAACGTGTTGGGACTTGGGATCACACGCATATGTTTTTCTGAAACAATTAATTATGATATTTGGATAGTTTAGTTTTTAATTGATTTTAGTCTATTAATTAATAAATATGAGTCATTTTCTTAATTTTTAATTAATATTATAATTACTAATTATTTTTAATAATTAAATTACTCATAATTATTATTTAAAGAATAATATTATAAATGAGAATAAAATTTGAGATCAATAATATAACATAAGTCATATCACTTAAAATATTAAAAAATAAATTTTATATTATTTAATAATTAATTTATTTTATTTTTAAAAAAATTTTAAAAATTAAATGTAAATTCCTCACAATCCTTCTTATTTAGAGGGATGAAAAACAAAGAAGTTGATGAAGCTTTTTAACCCCTCCGTCCCTCCTCTATTAACAGAGAAATCCAAATAAAGAGCAAAATATCTTTCCCTCACTCTCTCTCCCTTTCCCCTCCAAGTACACCAATCCAACCACACTGTTAAAGCTTGTCAGCTCTTTCTTTGTTGTAGAAAGCGCAAGGTGCTGCATGGTTGCAAAGTGGCATCCCACCGCTGTCCTATGCTGGGAGCCTGGGAGGCAGTGGGACAAAGCCATACGATTCTCCTTAAATTCACGAGGAAATCGAGGCTCAATCTGAGAACTGATATTGAAAAGTTCCTCAGACATTGTCAGTAAACAGTATGCCTTTAGATGCATGTTCACGTTCCTTCTTGCTAATTCACGATTTGGTGACATTGGAAATGACCCTCCCATGTGAGTCCATCAAAAGGACAAGCAATTGGAATAGCCGAATTGTAAGAGAACTATGTAAACGTGGTGTCATGGTGTGCGTAGGAAATGGGTAAGGTCACGTAAGAAATTGTTAGGATTATATAATTTTTTTTAAACAGTCAATTATAGTATTTGAAAATATTAATATATAAATTGATTTTAATATGTTAAGTTATAAATTTTAATTATTTTATTATTTATTAACTAACATTAATAGTTTTTAATAGTTAGAATAAATAAAATCACTATTTTAAAAGAGAATTTTAAAAATATAGTGTAAATAATTTATTATGTAGTAATAACCATTTCATAATGTGTATATGCTAGTGACAAAATTTTCTATAAAAATTATACTATCAAGAAATAAGAATAAGGTTTCCCATAATTTTTACTTTTTACTTTGAAATTTTCTAATATATGTCCTAAAAATGTACTTATTACACTTTTTTTTCATGAAAAGTATAGGAGTGGATATTTTAATTTTATCACTCCTCAATAAAAATAATCTATGTGTTATTGTTGTTGAAAACAAAATTTATTTTTGTAATTTTTTTATACAAATTAATAAAGAAAATGTGCAATAAATGT